CTCCTGGAGGCTGGGTCCAGCACGCTGAGCGGCGGCAGCACGAACAGGTTGCTGTTCTCCCTCATGAGGTGCGAGGGCGGGCCCAGAGAGGCCAGCTCTACCATCCGCGGCCGCCGTGCCCGCTGGCTGTCGTCGCTGCCGAGCGTGGCCAGGGCGTCCGCCGTCAGCGACAGGGACAAGTCCTTGTCCGCGCCCGTACCAAGGTCCGCGATGGCCGAGGGCAGGACCCTGATGGAGGAGTTGTGGAGAAGGTCCCCGAGGTGGTCCGAGGCCTCGGCAAGGGTGGCGGCCAGACAGCTGGTGCGCCGTCCGAGCGCCTGACGCTGCTCGGCCAGGATAGTCAGCGGCGCTGCCAGATACTCCCGGTCCACGAGCAGCACAAGACCCATAGTAGGCTGTAGGGCACCGCTCACCAGGGCGGCCACCATCTGCTCCTTCTCGTTCTGCAACACCAAACTTGCTCACCGAATGTCGGGCGGCTGCGCTGGGCAGGGAGGTGGGCGGCGCACTCACCTTGGCGACCACGACGGCGCTGTGCACCGGAGCCACACTGGACGCGGTCTTCACCACGCCGTCGGCCGCAGCTGGTGTCCACTCGCGCACTTGGAGCACTTGCAGGACAGCACCAAACTGGCGCCGGAGAGCGCTCTGCCGCTGCCGCACCAGGGGAGAGCTCGGCGACGATCCCACCACGGCCAGGATGTGGCGCGCGCCCAGCACGGCGAGTCGGCTGGCCAGGAACAGCGCGTCCACGGCCTGGCAACCTGAGGACAGCAAGACATCGTCAAACTGCGTCCACCGCACCTACTAGTCCTCCCTGTACTGGCGGAGACACTCACCGACCACGATGTAGCACTTGTTGGCGTCGCACACCCGGCCGGCTTCCAGCGCCGTGCTGTCCACCTTAACAACCGCTTTAGACCCCCGCATCAGGTCACCGATGCTACAAAGAAACGATAAATAATTTTGGCTTTCTGCCTCTGATAGAAGCACTCTCTGAGGTAGCGGGATTTTCAAACCTCCGGGGTCTGTTGTAGTCCTCGGCCCCCACGATGGGCTGCACCACACCGTCGCGGATCCCCTTGGCGACGGCCTCCACCACCAAGAGGCGGGTGTCCTCGGTGGCGTGGAACAGCTCGCTGCCCGAGCAGCCGAACACTGCACTGCCCAGGAGGAACATCTGTGAACCTGAGGCAAAAGAAAAGACATACGTGTGGCGTGAGAGAGTTGAGAGCTGGACAAGACGAGTAATATGATGTAGACTATGCCGGCCAGGTCACCTATGCTCCCTTCCTGGAAGGTATCGCGGGAGAAGTTGACGAGGCGACCGAAATATCCGATGCAGCGGAGAGAAGCGCGGAACTCGGAGCCCGCGAGCGTGTTGACGACCAGGCGCACCCCGCGGCCTCGGGTCAGCAGGCGCAGGCGGGGCTCGAAGGAGCCGCCGTCGCCGCAGCTCAGCACCTGGGCGGGCTGCAGCTGGGGGAACATGGCGAGCAGCGCGGCGCGCTCCCGGCTGCTGGCCACTGTGGTGTAGAGCGGGGCGCAGCCCAGCTGGCACGCCACCCGGATGGCGGCCTGGCCGACGGCGGAGGCGCCCTCGTGCACCAGGATGGACTCGCCCCGGCGCGCGCCCGCCTGCACCTGCAGCGCGTGGTACACGAGCGCGTACACGAAGGGGACGGTGGCGGCGTCCCGAGTGGACCAGCTCGCCGGGACCGGCCAGCGCAGAACCGGGTCAAGATGTGGCACCCGGTCGTCCGGCAGCCAGCGGCCCACGCCCATCACCCGCACGGCCTCGGCGCCCCGCTGCAGCACGCCCACGTAGTCCAGGTGGGGCGGGCCGACGTCGAGGCCGCGGCTCAGTGGGGTCACGCCCAAGAACTGCAGTCGCACGCCGCCCAGGCTGCACAGCAGAACACCACATCGTGAGGCGTGCACTCGTTAACGGGGACGGCGACAGGACTTCGCCGGCTCTCACCTGGACGCGGCCAGCGCGGTGCTCAGCGCGCAGGGCTTGTGGACCTGCATCGCGGGCGCTGGTGTGCTGGGCAGGGGCTCGACGCGGAGCTCGGGGAGCGGCTCCTGGAGAGTAACCCCGCTCGCGTACACGCCCGCCCCCACCAGGATGCCGGTGGCCAGCTCCAGGCGCAACGAGACTTCTGAAGAGGTGGGTTAGCATGTAAGGCCGAATGTAAGGGCAAGGACACCAGCAACGGCCTTTAAGGACACCACCAGTACCTGTCTTGTTCTTTAGCTTGGCGATGTCGATGTCCAGCCGCCGGATTTTGCTCGGCAGGCGCAACTCCTGACTCTCGTCGATGGCCCTGAGGGTGTACACCTGCAGCACGGCCTCGATGGCGGCGGAGAGCGAGCCGTTGGGCGCGACGCTGGCCAACCAGTCTGAGAAGGACAAGGACCAGATCACATTGTGATGAATTACCCGACCTTGTGCCTACGACCCAGGAAGTACTCTGAGGTCACCAACCTCGTTGGCCCATCCGGAGGGACTTGATGGTCTTGTACTTGTCAGTGTACTCCAGCCCCCTGGCACCCAGCTCCTGGTACACATCATCATAGGCGAGCTCGATGGCGTCGTCCTCCAGCTCTAGGGCGGGCAGGGCCGGCGGCTCTTCTTCGGTGCCGGAGACCGTGACCTTGGTGTGACCACGCAACGCGGTCCGGGGCTTGTCGTTCTCGATGTACACGAGCTGCGTCTCCGTCGTACCCTGCATGAAGTGCGCCTCGAGGTTTCGGTCGTCTGTGAGTCACGGAACTGAAGTTAGAACCCAGTCGCACTCTATGCACACGGCGAAAGGCGCACTGACCATTTGGAGAGACATCCATCCACTTTTTCACGAGGATATCCTGGAATGACACTTGGAAATTTTGATCCTTATCTAGTATTCTGGCTCGTGCGCATTCGTACATCACAACCTGTAACACAGAGGTTTTACATGTTTCCCTACTTCTAATAAAATAATTTCATAGTCGCTATGATGGGGTGTACCGAACGCTTCACTTACCAGCTCTTCCGATAGCAGGATAATACGTGATCCACCGATTTTCGCGTGGCACAGGGCGGCCAAATTTGTGCCCAACTTGTGCTGGAAAGCAGAAAAACAAAACAAAGCGACATTGTGGATTACAACTTGAAGATTATAACCATGCCTTTCAGATAGGAGCGAATCACCGCCAGAAATGGCCAAATCGTTTCGATATCGCATATCGATTTGTGTCGCTTTTCGTGCCGCTATCGACACGAAAGTGGGCACGAAAACGACATGCGATATCAAAACGATATCTATGCGATATCGCCCAAAATTCCGGTGTCGGTCCATTTCTGGCGGTGAACATTCCAGTTCGAATTCGAACGAACTCATCGAACAAAATTCGTATAAAAATCTTTGAAGGAACACGAACAACAAGTTTTTTTTTCTACGAACGAACCGAACCTAACAAGCCCTTGTTCACCTGCGAACCGAACACGAACGATGATTTAAATCTCTCCTATTAAATAA